TTTTCTATGCTCAAAGACTGGACCAATTATTATTCCCCGTAAGGGCTATCAACCGAATACTTGCGCCAGTCGGGATTCAATTATTATATTTATTTTGGAGTATCCCATAAGGGATAATCATTCAGATCAGAAGCTATTCATATGAGCTACACTTGGTCTATATTACCCGGAAGATTTATTACTCGGGAGCATGTTACATGCGTCATCCTTTAAAGGGTGTCGAAGGCATATTTTTTGGCCTAGGCCTAATATGTCTGCAGCCCATATTTTCAGGTGTGGCCTGTCACGTTCTTTTAGGGACTTAGGCACTTTTCGCTTAGGCCAAAGTGCGCGTGATCAAGTGCCCAATACCTTAAAATCCTTTTATACCGCAGTTACTCGACTTTTTAGGAGTTGGTACGATGCATCTTAAAAGGTGTCAAACAGTAAAGCTTTATATAGCTGCCCCGCTGACTTTTTTATATAGTCAAGGTGCTGTTTGGGTTTATCAAGCAATTGATTGGATACAATATCATTGCTTTTTGCCACGTAAGTGTGCATTTTTATTGACCAATATTATGGCTTAGGCTGATTATATATTATGGTCATTTTTCAGGCGGTTGGTAAATCCTTTACGAGTTTACTTACTCGGATGTTATACCATATATGCCATATATTTCCAGGAGTGGTGAAACCATGTGTCTTTTAGGGACTTAAGCACATCTGTTAAAGCAGTGTGCGCATGGCGTATGCCCAATACTTTGGAAATTTCTTTATTCACAGCATTCAAGCTTCTTTATAGTTGTTTTGCTATGTGAACTTTCAAAGATGTTGTCAACTTTAGGTTGTACGCATCATATTTTGCCAAGCAGTCGGTATATCACTTGGATCATATTATTCGGGGATTCACACCGCATATACTATATATTGGTATCAAGTCACTTGGTTGACTATAATTATCAAAAACCACTCGGTTAATTAGATAATTTATTCCTTGACTATATGTTTAGTTTGTTCAGCTAATCACATAGTTGGGGGCTACACCTATTAGGTGCATCTATTCGATGCACCTGACTTTATTTTTCAGCCCTCCACAGTCTTCAGATTTGGTAAAAGTACTCGGGAGACCATGGCGAAGATGATTGAAGCACTCGGCTTTAGAGTAATCTAGTTCGAGAGAAGATTATATTTTCGACTGTGAAGGTCTCAGGGGCTACTGTGGAGATTATGGGTACCCCATACCCACACGGCATGGTTATCCGACTAGTTATAGGGGATAACTTATATATATGAAATATGTAACAGATCATGACTTGGGTATTACGTTTCCCTGTATATTATGGAACGGCCTAAAGTCCTGGTTTAATAAGATTGTAAAGTAGATTTAGGAAACCGATACCGTCTTGGTTAAGGTTTCTATCTTGTAACCCTGCCCCCCAACCTATATAAGGAGGGCAGGGAGCCCCTCTAGGGGCATGAGACAACCTGATCGTCAGATCTATACTACACCCGGCGGATTCAAATCCCCAAACAGGAGTAGGGTATTACCTCTCATTGAGAGGGCCTGAACCTGTCTAAATCCTTTGTCTCCACATCCATCCACTTTTAGGTCTCGTGCGCTACCCCGTTTTATTATTGCCAAATTCATGTTTCGACATGAGGTGAGGAGATTGGTTTTTTTTTTTCACGTAAGTGGGACAGATCGGTTTCTTTGTTTTTCATTTTAGTTGAGGCCGTCCATCAATTGTTATATTTTACCGAACGTGAGCAGGCACATGTATTCAACAAGATATGAGTGTTGTGTACTTTTTGTCTTTTGTTATTATTTTGTTTTGTCCTTTTGTGATTAGGAATAAAGGTTCACTTTTTCCTATTTGTCATTGATTGCGTGTCGCTCTAGCCTCTGGGAAGGATGTTGCTAATACTAATCAGGTGCGTGTTGCGTCGGCGTTTGATTCAGAACGTGGGAGGCAGGACGCACGAGTGCGTGCGGCGCGCGCCAGGCAGAGCGGAAAGGCCGGCGCGGGTGAGTGTGGATCAGATGGGGAGGGGGTGTAAAATAGTCTTACGTGTGTGTCTATATATATATATATATAGCCTATATACTACTCCCAGGAGTAGCTACTCCTATTGTAACCATCGGACACCTGTCCAACTCACATCAGGGTTTCGCCCACCGATGCTGAAAATTGAATTATTTTTTTTTGAAAATTCGGATCACCGCGCTGTGTTCTGCATGGTGAGTCATTTTGAACGTTCTGCATGCATGGTTTGTTGACCCGCACGCATGCACGGCGGTGCGACCAGGAGAGTAGTTATTGTGGATGTTGCTACTGATACTCTATTTAAGTTGACGGTGATGTAGGACAGAAAATGAGGAGCAGAATTATCTTTCGGATTTGTGAGGAAGAAGATTTTGTTCTGCAGGTTTTTGATGGAGCAGAAACCCTCCGGTGGAAAGGGCAGAATGTCGTCGGCGAGGTCTGTTACGTCGCCTTCCGCAGCGCAAGTAGGCGGAGGCTCGTCGGCGCGTGATGTCGAGCAGCAGAAGTCGGCGGCGGCCGTAGGCGCGTCGTCGCCGGTGAGTAGTAGCAAGCAGCACAATCTGGCGAAGGCAGAAGATGGAACCATTATAGCTAATGGTGACAAGGAGCAGAAGCCTGCCGCAGATATGTACACATAGAAGTTTAGTTTTAGGTTATGTTCTGTTGCAAATTTAGTTTAGTTTTAGGTTATGTTCTGTTGCAAATTTTTCTCTCGTTTGTTTGTTTGGCTCTGACTGGTTATTGCGTTATTTGGTCATCAGGAATGGTTTTGTGCGTTGCATGGATACTGCTGCCCGGAGTGAAGTGATGAACAACTCTCTCCAGAAATATGTCATTCATTTGGATGGATGTCATCCTCTTCCCATGAGAAATCCTAGGAAGAGAATTATATATATAGGAAAATTATATACTACTACCGGAGTAGATACTCCCTCCCTGTCCGCCACCAATTTCAATTCGTTTGCCCAGATAATGATAATGACTATTAACGGGTTTATTGAATCGAATACTTTTACCCATTTTCTTTTACCCGTATTTTTTTCCCTCGGGGTCAACAAGATTGTTTCTGTTCTGTAGCAGATTCGAAAATTGAATCAAGATTCCTGTGTTTGTTGTAGATAGAATTTTGTTCGGAGACAGCTAACTAGAGATATTTCAGGGTGGTTTTTTCGCTCTTCAGTTTGCTTATCCAAAGCGAGAAATCATGATGATTATCCCGTCGAGCAGAACATTATCGATCTAAAATCGTTCTCTGCGTTTTGAGAGTTCTTAACCCATCTGAACTCAGATTAGTAGCCTCGCCGGCGGCTGCGTTGCAGATAACGTTGAAAGCTCTAGCATGGAGAACTCCAGTTCCAAGGTTTGTTGCCATATTCATCTGTTATTTTGCAGTGAATGCGGCGCCGGCCATGGCGACGATGAACAGCACCAACCCGACATTGGTACGGTATAGCAGTGTCAGGCTGCAGGCTGCCGGAGAGGAGCGTCCCAATCTTACCGGAGAGGAGCGCCCCAATGTGCCGCGTGCACGCCGGCCAAGCGCCCCAACGCCGGCGCCGTCGAAGCTCGCGGCAGCCATGGATGGATTTTTTGTTTCCTAATCTTTAAGTCCTTTTTTGATCGTATCTCTTACTAATTTGTTTTGTTTATGTTTTTGCATTTGCAGCACCTTTGCAGTCCTGCAGCAGGTGCGAATGTTTCAGGTGGTGGTGGCTCTAGTTCTGTTTTCACTAGAGCCCGCTCAAGCAAGAAAGATTAAATTCCAAAAAAAACAAGTGGCATCAAGGGTAAAAAGGTAGTACAAGAAAAAATTTACACCAGGTGCACTCCTGCTATTCTCTCAGATCTGTTCTCAGGTTTTGGTGATCAGCAAAAAGAGCTAGTGAAGCAGATGGGGTTTGATGGGTTGCTTTCCGTGAGGCTGACTAAACTGAACAAGCAATTCGGAGCATGGATTCTGTGCAAGCTAGACCCATCATCAGGTAATCTGTTTGCGGGATCTAGACATGAAATTTGTTTGACATGTGAGGATGTCAGCCTACTTTTGGGAATCCCTTGTGGACGGAAGGAGATTTTGCCTGCAATAAAAAACGAGGTAAAAGATGTTAAGGCTTATATGTGTGAAATCTTTGAGAAAGATTCCTTTGATGGACTTACCATTGTAACAATTCAGAGGATATTGGAGAAAAAATTTAACAGGACGATGACTGTTCACGAACAGATTGTATTCAAGACTACTTTTATAATCTTCGTTGTAACCAAATTCTTGGCTCCTCAATCTGTTAACAATCACATATCTATAAGGTATATGAAGGCTTTGGTTGATGTAGAAAATATTCACAAGTACAACTGGGCGGAATTTGTTTTGCATGACATCAAAGATGCAGCAGCAGCATTGCAACACAAAATACGCCATCGAAAAAGCATTGGTTACATCAATGGCTGCATCATACTACCTCAGGTGAAATTATCCTATTATTCGTTCGAATTATTTGCCTTTTACTTTCTAATATACTCGCAACATCTTTTCACATGCTATAATTTATACTGCTCAGCCTTTTTATCTGGACAATCTGGATTTCGGGACGGACTCTCCCGAGCATAAAAACATTCCAAGGATTGGCATGTACAATGACTCCATGATAGCAGAATTCATTGAGAGGGACGTAATTCTCAAGAACCGGAATCCTTTCCCCACGTATGGAAAGATGAAGGTAAAATCAACTCTCCTGTCGGTAGTATATTCTTGTTGAAATTTCCCTTGTGCAGAAACTTCCGACTATTGACATATTTTTTGGGTTTCAGCTGCGAAACAAACATGATGAAAAATACAATCTTGGCCATCATACGGGTGCAACAGAGGTGCAATCTCATGTAGTTTGTAAATCTATTCAATAAAAAAAACCATTTTTCCATAAGAATTGTTGATATATCTGTACACGGGCTATCCATGTGGATCGTACCTACGATGCCAGGTCTAACATCGAGCCCCCAAGCTTTAATCTAGGAATAACACAAGATATCGAAGAAGCAAACATGGTGGCATGTACCTCAGGTCATGACATCTCCTATGTGGCTTAAGACTCTGACAAAGAACAAGAACTCAACTTTTTAGCACATACCCCAGATCAGCCAATCTCAAAGTCAGTAGATGCCTCTGACAAATCCGGAGAAGGTAATGCAGTGCACAAAACTCCCTCTTCGCATGGAGGTAATGATACCCACAAGCCTATATCAGTTTTTCATTTTCATTCATAACCAACCACACGCACATAATATGACTCGCTCTTACTGGTCTGACTCATAATAGGTTACCAACAAACAGAACTTAGTAGTTTCTCTCCGTACTCTATGTTGAAAGAGACGAGTGGGGCGAGGATTTTCATGCGTGAGGAGTACGCATGTACAAAGCTCCCACCTAAATCCAAGAGGAGAATTATCGGCGGTCCTTCTGATATCCTATTCGATCGGCTAAAGAGGTCGATTAAACCAAGCCATTCGGTGAAATCACCATTTCTGAGCAAGCAACACTCTTTCGTCAGGCATGACCAGAAGGCACTTGATGATTTATACACATGCAATTTCAATCACTGATGCAGAAGCTCTTAAGTAAGCCACCTATCTGAAACACTTGCTGATTTATACACATATACAACTTCAATCGCTTATGCAGAAGCTCTAATGTAAGCCACCTACCTGAAATGTTACTTTCTTTCACCACTAATTGTAAAGATATCACATTTAACAGGAAAATCTGGGTTCACATCTCCCAACCTGTCCCTATGTCATTAAGCCTACATGACATACAACAGGCTATTTGGCTGGACACTCAAATGCAAGAAGAAATATTCAATGTTCCAGATCAAGTATTAGCAGCGGATGAGATACAGAGATTTGGAGGAACTGATTTTGTAGGCTGGAGACATTTCTTAAATCAAGATTTTGCAGTAAGTGCTTCCAATTACTCTAGACTATTTTAATTCTTAAATATGGTGTGTTTTAACACAATATGGCGTTGTAGATGTTTGCAACAGCTGGTGATGACCACTGGAACCCAGAGGATCATCTCCCCTCATTCAAAGATGACTCCCTGATACCATATGACGTACCTAGTTGCCACCTGGTTTGATAATTAACAGCATCTTGAAAAATTCAGTACATCAAGTGCAAATGTTCAGGCCACTAACTTTTGCAATGCCAATATTAATTTGCAGATATTTATTCCACTACTTCAACCACTGCACTATTCTCTATACGCATTTGATATGGAGAAAACAAAATTATACATTCTTGACCCACTGAGAGACGCCTCGAAAAGATCAGAGGATACAGCAGAAAGACACTTAAAAACAAAATTTCACATTTCATCTGCTCTGAAGGAGTGCATGAAGCTTGCATTTCCAGATTAGGACGAGGATATACCAAACTGGGTTTCTGAGTTCCCTTCGGCCATCCCAGCTGTAAACAATAGGTTCCAGTTCATGCTCCCAATTTGATCCAAATTAATTTTTCCATTCTACTCATTTATGGTCATTGAAATACTAACAATTTTGGTAGGCTGGATTGTGCCTTTCACGTGCTCTACTACATGCGAAACTGGGATGGAACTTGCCTTGTGAACCCCCCAAAATCCGTGAGTTTTCTGTACACACTAGGTTCAACTTAAGTTTCATTGAAATAGCTTCCTTTATAATAAATAATTTTCTATATTAACAACAGGATCAACGAGATCTTCGAAAGGAATTTCTGTCCAACTTATTGTCATTCAAAACAACGAAGCTATTCTGCCGGACTTCGTCGTTCACTACCTGAAGTTATCTAACAAGATCTAAGCATGTTATGCAAGCATGCCAAAATAAAGATTACATTCAGTTACATCATTATTATCTAAAATTTGTTAGTTCCCAATAATATTTGTCTTGTTCTTACTCAACATTTTTCAAGGCTTCATGTTCTCTGCTATTCTCTTCCCAAATAAATGAATTTGTCATTTACCTTCCAAATATCATAAATTTAGATTTTCCCAACATCAAATCCATGATGTTCACCTATGGCAAATTAAATACTACAAACTAATTACATCTTCTGTTGCCGTACATTACGTGATCAGCTCTCCTCCGAACTTAGAGAGCAGACCATGCCATGATCCAAATCAGTGCATGCCTGGCGAAAAAAAGACATGTTCTGCTGGGCGAACATGTCTATAACAGTCATGTTTTGCTCGGCGAAAAAAAGACATGTTCTGCCCCCAGAACAGTATGCCAATTGATTTATGCTACCACGAGGATACATCCCACCAAACAACAGCAGAAACTACTAGCCATGTACTGCTGCCGAGAATACATCCCACCAGAACAATAGCAGAAACTAGTAGCCATGTTCTGCTACCGTGCTAAACCCCATCTAAAAATACACCACAAGCACTCTTTTCATGTTCTGCTCCCGATGCAGAGCATGATGAAAAACGTTTTTGGCTCCCACGAAGATTCATCCGACACTACCTCCAGCAGAAACAATTAGCCATGTTCTGCTCCAATACGATGCTTCCAAAGACTACAACTATACGACAAACTCTGAGGCACAACAGAAAATAGAAAAATACAAAACTTGTGTTCGCAAATTTCCTACAATGTTTGCCAAATGTAAATATTCAAAATGAACTATATGTTCTGCTGACGAAATTTAATGATAATAAAAGTTCCATTTTATGCTAAACGAAATGCTGACACCAACCCTGCAGAACATTGAACAGAATAATTACACTCACTTCTTCCTCTCATAACTAGATTTCCGACCACATGTACTATTGTAGTGGCTCTCATAACTAGATTTCCGACCACATGTACTATTGTAGTGGCCATGACCACCACATTGCTTGCAGTACCTAATCTGCTTCGTTGACTCTTTTTTTCCTTTGGCGTGATTCTTCGACTCGTCCTTGGAGGTACTCTCACTAGCCTTCTTCTTCTTTGCTTTGCTAGATGTCTCTCCCTTCGACATCAATCTGGTACTCCTCGGTCGTCCACGACTTCTTCTAACCTCAGGAGGGAGTATGTCTTCTTCGTTGACATCAGTTATGTCCACATCAACTGAATCCTCACCAGCAGAAACATCATGTCCAATGCCGTCCTCATCGGCTACACAAAAGTCATCAGACATTCCATGCTCCGAGTCAGAACTGTCTACACTATCATCCAATTGCACACTAGTAGGTTTCTTCCCAATTGTTCTATCTCCGCAGTGAATTTCCTTGTTGTTTACAACTTGCGAAGTACACATGACCTGAAGTTCTCCAATCAGCTTTGTCAACACTTCCACTGTCTTCTCATATGTTTCTGAACTAGTACCACCAAGTCTAACCATATCAAGTGCAGACTTGTGCAAGAGGGTGTTCCGATAAGTTCTCGATGATGCCGCCTCCTTATCCTTCAAGTACGACTCCTCCAAGTGCTTGGGGATTGAATCTCTAGCATCTTTTGTCCACCTCTTCAGGATACACTTCTTCGGTATTTCCGTGAAACCATACTGTACCATAACCTGCAAAAACACTATGCATTAACACACAAAAACACAACAGCGTTATGAGAACTGCTTAATATTCAAACTTACTATGATAATATGGGAGCATATAATTCCCAAGTGTTCAAAAAGCTTGCATCCACATGACAGATCTTGTTCAGACAGGTCAACCTGAACCTTAAATTCTTTGCTGCCCCAACTTTGCAAGGTGTCATCACCTATATGGACTAGCTGCAGAACATGCTGATCCGAAGTTTGATAAACCATAAATGAAAAGCTTAGCTTGAACTGTTAACTATTCCTTGAACCTAGAAAATGCACCCCTAGTGTACACCCGAGAAGCATGTTTCTCAATGGGCGAGCTAGTTAATGTGGAAACCTTCTCCTAAAGTTCAAGATAAATGACAAGCATATTATAACATGATGAAACCATACCGCCACAAAAATAGCATCTATAACAAACATTCCGAGTACGCAACGCTACACTCACAGAAACCAATTCGAAATCTCTGCTCCATTCTTGTACAATATTCTGCTCGAAGAACTTCATCTTGGTGAAGGATTGCATTCACGATGACAACAGGGAGTTTGCAGTACACACAACTTAAATAGATAAATGAAAGGATAACATCTCAATTTTATTTCACTTCCCAAATAGCAGAAGATACAGATTTCTCAACTCAGATACTACTCGTTTTTTTCTCATAGAAAATACCATACAAAACTAGAGACAGTTCGTACGACTAATCTACTACCCTGTAGAAAGCAAGCCCTTATTACAATTTTCCTGATCATCACACTATTGGCTACATATTTTCCTTGGACACATGTTCGCAACCATTAGTGTTGCCCCGGGTTGTTTCGTTGCTTCTGAAATTCATGTCACAAGCCGCGCGAATATTACGGAGTGAGCACCAAGCGCATCTCTTCCTAGGATTTCTCATGGGAAGAGGATGACATCCATCCAAATGAATGACATATTTTTGGAGAGAGTTGTTCATCACTTCACTCCGGGCAGCAGTATCCATGCAACGCACAAAACCATTCCTGATGACCAAATAACGCAATAACCAGTCAGAGCCAAACAAACAAACGAGAGAAAAATTTGCAACAGAACATAACCTAAAACTAAACTAAATTTGCAACAGAACATAACCTAAAACTAAACTTCTATGTGTACATATCTGCGGCAGGCTTCTGCTCCTTGTCACCATTAGCTATAATGGTTCCATCTTCTGCCTTCGCCAGATTGTGCTGCTTGCTACTACTCACCGGCGACGACGCGCCTACGGCCGCCGCCGACTTCTGCTGCTCGACATCACGCGCCGACGAGCCTCCGCCTACTTGCGCTGCGGAAGGCGACACAACAGACCTCGCCGACGACATTCTGCCCTTTCCACCGGAGGGTTTCTGCTCCATCAAAAACCTGCAGAACAAAATCTTCTTCCTCACAAATCCGAAAGATAATTCTGCTCCTCATTTTCTGTCCTACATCACCGTCAACTTAAATAGAGTATCAGTAGCAACATCCACAATAACTACTCTCCTGGTCGCACCGCCGTGCATGCGTGCGGGTCAACAAACCATGCATGCAGAACGTTCAAAATGACTCACCATGCAGAACACAGCGCGGTGATCCGAATTTTCAAATCAAATTCATATACCTAGGTATATACTCATAATTTAAAAATTTTAAAAATTTAAGAGAATTTATGTGTTTTATACCTTGGAGCCCGAGCACCATGGAGTCCCATATGTGTATCATATATATATATATATATATATATATATATATATATATATATATATATATATATATATATATATATATATATATACACGGTCACGCTACGTGACGCCACACACAAGCGGTGCGCGTATGTGTGACACGTGTCCACATTGCACTTGGTGAATATGGTCTATTGTGTACCTAATCAGTTGTAAAATGTACCTATTAGCTTTGCTGGTTTGCTTGGTACATGTTGAGTCCCTTCAAAGTACACCTGCCACACAAGACAACCTGACGCCAAATTGAAGTCTCATGGTGGCACTGTGGCACAGGACACATCCCTAGTCAACATGCATACAGAATGCCTGTCTGCTGCTTTTTTAATCCAGCGATACCGTGACTCTGTCCAGCATTTTTATACGTATATATTTGTTGAATGGACCAAGCCAATGACGCACGTATGTGCTCTATTATCTTCGGTATGGTTGCTAGTATTATGTATTTAACATGGTACTTCCGTACATTCGATCAACATGGATGGTAAAAAGCACACATATAATTTATTTATGAAAAATAAAATATCATTTCTACGTACAACGCATGTAGCCAAAAGAAAACGATTGTATTGGGTCCGTGGTTACACGAGCCATGCAAAAATGCCATTTTTTATTTATACATTCATTTTTTATATTTTCAAAAGAGTAATTTTATTTTGAAAATTGACAAAAGTATAGCACGCCCTCTAGAGGACATTTTTTTGAAAATCATGCTTCGAAAGGGTGTTTTACTTAAGTGGCAGCCAGGATAGGTGGGAAGGATTTAGATATAATTTTCGTATAATAGTTTTAAAACAGGTCACAAGTCAAAATTTATAACATTATATATTTCAACGTGATCTATATTTTTTAATTGCCGACTTTATTATTTAATATCGTCTAGAAGTCCAAATATGCGTGACAAATATCAAACCATTTTTTTATCTATGTTTCAAAATATCTCCAGCGCAGAGATAAACTCTATATCAAAAGATATAGTTGTAGATCTTAACGAGAACTGCAAGTTTATAATTAATCACTTTTTTATCTAAAATTATTAAGTGTCAAATAAACTACAATGCTACTCTACCAACACTCCCGACTCCTTGGGCCCTATCATTTCATTGCTGCTTATGTTTATATATACTCCAAAATTTAATTTTATAGTTGATTCTGTAGGTCTTTCAGCTGCTTTATTAATAGCATTTTATTTTTGAATTGTTACGGACAGTATATGATTTTTTTTGCCTACTATTGCTAATAAGCTACGAATAACCACAATCATAAACGTAAAAATATAGGCCAAATGATGTGCCCACTCGTCTGTGCAGGAAGTGCAAAACTCTCCGGTATACTATTTATCAAAAAAAAAATCAAAAGCTGTGTTCAAGAGACAAGACAAGTCACGTTGTGTACTTTGTCAGATAATTAATACGAGAGAAAGAAATCGCAAGCAAAGTAGTAGTTGCCATGGAGCCCACATCTCCCCGTCCGTGCGTCAATAAATTGATGGTTCTTTTGCCAGTGAGCCAATTTCACTACAAATATTAGAAAATAACAACTATCTGCTGTCCCTGAGTCCACCATAGAATTCAGTCAATCGTGCTAAGCATCTAATTAGTTGTCACGCATCTTGGTTGAGATTCATGGAGCATATGAACTTTGGTTCATATATGCTTCCCCCCCCCCCCCCCCAACACACACACACACACCCCACCCCCCCAACCCCCCCCCCCCCACACACACACACACACGCACACATAATTAATATATATATATATATATATATATATATATATAATCTATTCTACACCCCTCCCTTAGAATAACTATTCTACACCCCCCTCCCATGGGCCAATCCCACCTCCCCCACCCTTCCTTGGCCCAAATCCCCTCTCCCGCCGGTAAAACCCGCCCATTGACTCCCTCCCCCGCCCACCACTTTATTGTCCTCGTCTCACAGGAATTTTGCAGCAACGGAACGGTCATCGTGCAGTAATAGGACAACTTTCTCGCAGTAACGACATTAAAAGATAGTCATGATGGATCTAGTTTTGTTAAGCACTTTTTTAAGAACATTATGGTGCAGACGGATTAGAAAAATAATATATAAAGGGAGAGATATTGCTCTCTAAAGATTGATATTTACTTTTTTTTAGTTCTCGTCTCGCTGGAATAGCGTAGTAACGCGACAGTCAATATGTAGTAACACGGCTATTGTCCACATGATGAACCCTGAGTTCCTCTCGACACTCAAGGCTGTTGTTGGCCCGATCTTTCGATGAGTTGTGATAACTACGATTTGGGAGAAACGTTGACGATCCGACTACAACCGTACGAGACGTTGTGTTGCGCCTTAGCGATCGATACACCTCTCCGTGGGTTGTTGATCTTGCCGGTGCAGATCAACCCTATTCCTGCAAGCAAATCGAAGAAACAAGCAAGAACAAGATAAAAGCAATCTGATATTGCAAATAGGAATTTAATACAAATGATAAGTTGGGGTTCCGAAGAACAAGCAGACAGACGGTCTAGCCGACACGCGCGCTGCAAGCAAGTAGCAATGGCTAAACTTTAATCAAACAAAACCCGAGAAACCCTGAAGGGGTAACTAGCTATATATAGGTGTGGGAGGACGACCTAGGGGTGCCTAGGGTCGTGCTCCACCAGCTTGGGGCGCACCCCACATGGGCCCCACCTGGGCCGGGGTCCCAAATAAAGTTACAAGCCCATAGGCCCATTATAGGTGACGCAGCACCTTGTTCCTGTGATTCCGGCCACACGAGATGGAATTCAGAGAAGAGGCTGGATCCGTTAGAAAGAGGGCTCCGAGAGCTTTCCATCAAGTACTCACGGGCCGAAAACGGAGGTCGTATGCAGATTCGGTGGCCGTTTGAAGTCAGCAGTATAGTAGGTGGCCGAATCGGATTCCAGCACTTGGAGTACTTGATCTCGATATCTTCTTGTTCGTCCATGATGTGAGCAATGGTTGCATCCGTGATAGCCATGGTCACATCTCCACAATAACAACGTTATAAAATAGTCATGATAGATCTAATTTCATTAAGCATGTTGTCTCGATTATCGTGTAGTAACAAGACTATTGTATTATTGTTTAAAGATTAGAATTATAATAGTTTACTTGTACTAAGCTTGCTACTATGTATCTTTATATGAACGAAGAAAAGTACTTTTAGCACTTTGTGTTAACTTGTGACTATGCATATGCACATGTATTTTTAGCACTTGTATTTTGCACAAGATTGAGATTTAATAATTTAGCTATGCACAAGTAGTGGTATTGTAGTAGTACCGTTAATAACATATGTTCTCTGTTACTGCAGTTTTATGATGATGTTACTGTAAAAACCACAGTAACAACCTATAAATTTCGCAGTAACGTACCGTGTTACTGCACTTCTGCGATAATATTACTACCGAATCATAGTAACAAGGTACGATTCCTATAGTAATATAACTGATTTGTTCTCATAAAATTTATATAGAGGTAGAAAGCAAGCAAGCAATAACCCCTAATCACATAGTGTTATTGGGTAAATTGGTCAGGAGAGCTTATTATAAACTATGAGGTCATGTGTTCAAGTCTTGATTTCGCTATTTTAATTTTTAGTTTTCTTTTCAAGGTGAAGCAAAGGAAGGGAAAGAGAATAGACCTGGGGAGGAGGAAAAATATGAGATAAAAAAAGAAGAGATCGATCAAATAGGCGTCGGGAGGAGGGAAAATAGGAGAAACAAAAGAAAAGAAGGTCCCGGTGGAAAAATAGGAGGAAAAAAAAGAAAAGAAGGAAGATAGAAGAGATCGATCCTGGTGGAAAAATAGAAAAAAAGAAAAGAAGGAACGGGAGTGAGAGAGAGAGAGATACGGAGGGGGAGGAGGGAACAGAAAGAGAGAGGGAGGGAGCTCGATAGAAAAATGAGGAGGGGGAGGGACGCGACGCGTGCGGGAGGAAGAGGGGAGGGGCGGCGCGCGGGAGGAGGCCCACGGGAGGGAGGAGTGGGTTGGGTGATGCCGTGATGGGAGGAGGTGTATAATAGTTATTCTAAGGGAGGGGTGTAGATTAGAGCTTTATATATATATATATATATATATATATATATATATATATATATATATAGGGATGCGCTAAAGCGTAACTAAAACACTTCCCTTATAACCCCACTCACCCCCACCCCCTCCCAGTCGCACAAAGATACGCACATAAGCCCGCACAAGTCAAGTCTGGATTGTTAGTAACAACATTACTAGCAATATTTTTAGTTTCTGTGAGTAAAGTAGTTACTTAATTATGATGTTTTGGTATGTCAGTAAAGAAGTTACTGAAGGTTGTTTGGTTTGCTTCCGCACTAACCCACGGAGTACCACGTGCGTCACTCTTGTAACTTCTGAAGGTTTGACTTAGTAACTCATTTACTATGACTATATGAATATATCATTAGCTAGCAATTTATTATTGATGATAGCGCTGTTCCCCGTGACCCCATTTGCTAGGGTCCGGCTAGGAGAGCTGTGGGGAACGACAATCGTGGCGCGGAGGAGGAGTGAAGAGCGGCAGTTCCCCCCTGCGCATGGCAAGTGTCCCGGTCCGGCCGTAGCCCGGCGGCTCGGGAGTGGGGAAGCGACTTCAGCGTGGTGGCAGTGGAGTTGGCTGAGCGGCTACCGGTGGCGTGGGAGTTAGGAATCAGCGTCGTCGTGGGGGTGGTGTCGGGGATGTCGGAGCCGGCGGCGACTCCATCTCCAGTGGGAGGGTGCAAAGCTCGCCACCAGGAGAGACCACCGCCATCCATCCATGGGTGGTACAATACTGTACCCCCTGGACTTGGACGCGGTTAGGAGGTCCGGCGTTCGTCAAGGCAGTTCTTGGAGGAGAAGGAGTAGGCGCGTCAGGGACCGGCGGGGCAGCCACGATCGGAGTGGCAGCCATACGGCGGCGATGGTAGTGGCGCCGGCCACCAACCCCCACCACGGGATCCCGGCGCGTCCTCCTCGTCGATCGTCGACGAAGATGGCAAAGACGGCGTGCGTGATCATGGCGAGGGATGCCGAGAACGGCATCGAGGATGGAAATAAAGGTAGACATACCTCTTGTTCTTCGCTTTTTCTTGAGATAAAAAGCGTTTCTTCTGTTCTTCGCTTTTCCTGTAGATCAAAAAAGCGATGTTCTTCCTTCTTTCATTTCGCGATCTCCTTCGCGAGAGCGTAAGTGTTGATAACGTGTTAAAGTGTATAAGATTGATTGAGCGAGAGGGATTGAGTGAGAGAGAGAATTGCACACAAGAATGTAGAGAATGAATGAGCGATCCTTTATTGATAACAATGTTACAATATATAGGGAGAATGTAGAGAATGAATGAGCGATCCTTTATTAATAACAATGTTACAATATATAGGGGGGAGAGAGGCGGCAAACAGAGACACAATGGTTTGGGAACCATCGCGTCCGTTGTTAGAATCGCCGTGGGGCGAGAAGAGGTGTGGGGCATGACCAACCGTCGTGTCCCAGAATTGATTGCTCTATCCATATAGATGGATGAGATCACCTAAATATTTCATAACAGATAGATGCTTGCAAAATCACATCCTTGATCGCATTGTCATCACGAAGGAAAAAGTTTCGTGTGATTGAGTAATCATCTTACTATGAGTACCCACATTTTCAATTAGCAAACAATTTACTATTAATTTAATTAGTGCGCAATTACTATTAGTATTTGTGGTTTCAATTAGTAAACGAATTACTATTCATTTAATATGCCCTGCACAAAACCATCTGACCTATCAGAATCCGCAAGGTTGTAAGTAAATAAATTAAAAAACTTTTGATATAGCAACAAATATTATTACAGTCTTATCTCAGTAAATAAATTACTTTGTGCTTTTCTTCACGCACCTTCATTGAGTAAATAAATTACTCTTAGACTTTTTTTCAGTAAACAAATTACTCCTAGACTACAGGAGTAAAAGATTTATTAACATCCGGGAAATGTTTGGACAAGATTTTATATTAGAACAACTATCTGATCACATACGCAATACGAAACATTGGTAGAATGCACAAATACAAATAAAAAAATTACAACAACACCAACAATGATGGATATGGCCGGCACCAGACTCAGTTATCAACCACAAGAAAATCAATCCACCAGCTCATGGTCCAGCACTACTATTCCCATCATTGTTTATCCAATTCTGGCAAGGGGTGAAGGTTGGCCACCGGCGACGAGCTTTGACGATGCCCATGTCGAGGATGACGACCAGGATGGCATTCCAGTGGCGCCACCACCACTGGCATAATCTTCTCTTGTCGTCCTTTTCTAGTTTCTGAACACAAACAAATTCACGATTAGAAAGAAAATTCAGATCTGAATGAGCTCTGAACATGTACATCTTCAGCAGACCAATTACCAACCACCTTGCCATCGAGTTGTGCCTCCTGCAAGGGTGCACACTGCAGCTGCTGACGTCTGCAAGAATTAGAATTTAGTAACATCAGTAGAATTCAAACCTCAGCCTGAAGAAGTATGTTCTATCAAAAACATATCTAGTCAGAAGTTCAGAAGAAATCGATCGATGTGCTCCTTTCAACAACAAAATTTGGAAAACTGCTATCCAATCGGAAAGAGAGAAACTTGCAAAATAAGGATATAATCTCAAGTTTGAAAATCACAGACCACAGGGAGAGGACCGTGTTCCAACAAAAAGAAATCAGACAAAAAGCATAGACCATAATATTGCAGGATGCAGATGCTTCAGAAGAACATTTCCGTTTCATCACAAGCACGGGATGCAGATCGCTTCTGCCCTTGGACTAGATATTTGCCATTTTTCAAAAATATATATTTTTCTCAAATTCATTTATAGTCTGATATAATTTCGCAAGTGTAAAAGGTACTAATTGATTATAGTCTCAAGCTATCGTGTTCCTCGTAGATAACGAAACGCTTACAAACAAAATTCAGGGATGTTGTTGCAGTAACAAAAAAAAAAATGTGCATTATAACCAGCAGTAGCCAAAAGATCTGTCAGGGTTATGGATACTACATACCTAATAGTAGTTGACTAAATCTCGGCAGGACCCACCACATACTATGTCCTATACGGAAATAACCTGCGACTACTCGGATTATATCCATATTGGTTTTCCTAGTTCTACTTGGACAAGGGGACACCTATGGGTATAAATACAAGACCCTCTAGGAGGAGAGGAGACACGACCACCTCAATCGACACCCACCATAGAAGACACAGAACAATAGATTAAGACATAAGATCAACGTACAAGCCAACATACACCAAGACAAGCCGCCGGATATTGACTTAGGGATAAGCACGGCTAGTTCCCTACGGTGTCTCCGGATACTGTCAGGAGAGACGAAAGCGTTATCTCTGATCTCGCCGGGCACGGATTCGAGGAGGAAGACTACCCTGTTATCGACTACGAGTCAGACCTTCAGACCGCCATGTCGACAACAGTTAAATAGGCTACCCCAAATATTATACTGGTGTGATTATGATGAATAAGAGCAACGATCGGCTTCGGCCAACAGGATGTAGGGTTATTACCTGATAATTCAGGGGCCCGAACCTGTATAAAAACCCTCGTCTCCGTCTCTTTTACCTCAGTCTCGCGTATACCCTAGTACCAACGATCCCCATACCATGCAAACACCGGAATAGCGACATCAAATGTCGACAAGATCCATATTTCCTAGACTGTCAATATTGCTAGTAAAATTCAGCATCGGTAACTTATACGACACGAACACAAGCCCAACCATAATTCCAGAATCATGTGCATAATATTTAGCATTATCATATCGGTAACTAATATAGCGATGCAGATCAGGGCTGGCGATGCTGATCAACTACAAAAGGTAGTAAATCTGAGTTCAGCTCACAAGTAGTAAACTCTGATTTCAATTCAATCCCCTCTATCTAGCGGAGCCTCATCCCATCTTGTTGGCCTTGCCATGGCAGGCAGAAGCACACCAAGAGAAAGCTGCACCCAGTCAACTGTACAAAATCAAGAGCATTAGCAGAAAGAATTCGATGGATCGACATATTGTACACATTTTTAGAACAGAATCAAGACCCTAATCAACATGACCATATGCAGTGAGCACCTCAGAAAAATGAATCCATCTGGTCCCTCAGAACACCAGATACATAATTGTAGTGCAAAAAACATAACCTAAATTGCCCATGCATAACTTGAGACCACCTTTTTTGTATCCAGATAAGTATGGCAGTTTGAATAAAGAAAAGGTTATGTTAATTTCGTCTAGCATATCAACTAATAGCACATGAACTAAATGTTGTCAGAAGACTAATTAACCGAGAGCAAGATTTCAGCCTACCGATCAGAAAGCTAAATTTGAACTGTCAAATGCTAAACTCGAGTTTTGTTTAAAACAAGTGCAACAAGGGACTAGTTGAAGATTACCCTTTAAGCGAACAACTCAATTTGACATGAACCCGAGAAATTTGTGAATTCACAAAGATCCCCAAGTTCCTTTTTCTTTTCTTCCTAACTTGTTCCTATCTGTTCTTCCTCTTCTCCCTCTATTCCTTCCTGCTGTTGGCAACACCAAGTAGAAACACGCTGTTGCAGCAGCAAAACGTTAGCGCAGCAGCAAGACGTTAGCACAGCAGCAGCGACAAGGATCAGCAGCAGCAGTAGATGAAATCGCCAGCAGCAGAGAACAGCAGAGGTCGGCAGCAGTGGCTCACCAGAAAGAAACCGAACCGAAGAAAACCACCGGCGGCGATGGCTGGCAATGACAGACAACGGCGGCGCAGCAGCAGCAACGATGGGAACACATAATGCTAGGGCTGGAAACCTACCGATCTCCCATTTTCCCCCTTTGCCACCTCCTACCTGTTGCCTCTCCAGATCCAAAAAAAGGGGGAAATGGTTGGAGGGAGGAGGGGGGGCGACGATGGCCACCATCGTAGGAGCAACGCGCCTCCGGCGTTTCCTCCGCAGCAGATATGGAGGTCACCGTCCCTGCCTCCTCGCCGGACATCGAGATGGAGAGCCCGTTCCTGCAACCAGCGGGAACGAATCCAGGACGCTGCATCATCCCTGTAGCCATCGAGAACCTGCGGTGGCGGCGAGGAGGGAGGTGAGCCATCGACGCCGGGTCGTCCCGTCGTGGGAGGCGCCGGAGGAGAGAGAGAAGGGGAGAGCGAGAAGGGGAGGAGGGAGAGCTACCGACCTACCTCTGGCCAGATCCGCCGGAGGGCAGAAACCAACGCCACCCGCCGCCGCCGCCCTGCTGCCGGCAGAGGAGTGGAGGAGAGGGTCCCGATCCGAAAAAATAGGCTCAGGATTCAGGATAGGTAGTTTGCTACTGGGTGGGGAAATAACGGCAGGTATATACTCCAGTAAATCGATTACTCAGATTATGCTGATTAGGTGTGCGTGGGTAGGGGTGGGGGTGGGGTGTTGGGGCATGGCCCCCGCGGGGGGGGGGGGGGGGGGGGGGGGGGGGTTCTGCTGTACTATACTACGCCCCATGTGTAGCATATACATATATATACATATGTACATATACACATATGTACATGTATATGTATACTTGTATGTATGTATGTACATGTAGATGTGTGTGTACGTATGTACATGTGTGTGTACGTATGTAGATATATATGTACGTACATGTATGTGTACACATACACATGTACATGTGTATGTGTATATACATGTATATATATATCATATATATATACATATATATATACATATATATATACATATATATATATATATACATATGTATATACATATATATATATATATGTATATAGGACACTCATATGGGGCACCATGGTGCCCGGGCACCATGGTATCAAATACACAAAATCACTCAAATTTTTCAAAATTTTCAAATTGTGAGTATATACCTAGTTATAATAACTCGATTCATACCTATACCTATCAACAAAACAACTCAAATTTAACTTTATTTCACAATCCATGATTACATACCTAACTAATTATATGTATGGATGCTATATACCTAGAATCAAAATCTAACAAAAACAAGTTCAAATTCAGTTCAAACTTGCTTTGAACTAGTTAGTAAAGTAGCTAATGTTAATATCTAAGTAATTGAAAAAGTTTCATACTCATTTGAATTAGGTATATACTCAATTTCAACAATGGTGCCCGGGCACCATGGAGCACCAAACAAATTTACTATGTATATATGTATATATATATATATATATATATATATATATATATATGTGTGTGTGTGTGTATTGATTTGTTGTGAATGCATTTCTATGCTATCCAAATTTCCTATAATCAAAGCTAGGTTCTTTGCATCACTAATCTCTTCCTTGTACTGGACAATGATTTCCTCCATTATCTATATGAAAATATAATTATGCTCAACCAGAAATATCTTCTACTTGTCATTCAGATAAAATTATTTATATCCTACTAGTTACATGCACTGTTGTGCAACTCAAACAATTAATATGAACATTTTTACTGAATCAAAGATGCTCTTGTTCATCTTCTAATGGATGCAAATGCAACACACAACTCCTACACATACTAGTATATACATCACATAAGATTCATGTCATGATACGATTTCAGTTTCATTTTAATCTTCTGATTACCTGCTGTGGTTTTAAGTGACTGATATGTGGTTCCCTTCTCTTGTTCTGCAGCTGCTCCTCTGGATTCTGATTCAAGGATTCTCCTGATGGAACTCTAATCCTGGAACTAAAGCCCCTTTCTTTACTTGAAACTCAGGTACTTCTTCTTGGCTCTTATTCTACTGGTACTGCTTCCTGCCACCCTTATTGATCTGCTACTGGCGATTTTCTCCCTCCTCTTGAAACTGATCCCCTTGATGGATTTTTGCTCCATCTTGCTTCTTGACTTGAGTTTCTTGCTCCTTCTAAATCTCAAGCAACCACTACTTCTCCCTGGCTGCTACGACTGAAAAGTAGTGTGGTTGTGGTGTTGAACTACTACATCAGCTATCTCCTCTTTGAGCTACAGCACTTGCTTCTCCTAGAGCTGGAGATCCTACTCCATCTACTGCTTGCTGGATTGCCTTCTTCTTGCACCATTTTTTTCTCTTCCTTACCTTCTCACTGATTCTAATGGCTGCACTGGATGGCTGGTCTTTGGTCTCTACGACCAGTGAGCTGGCTGAATGAATCTCACATATAGATACTCTATGCAGGTGAACTACTGTGACTAGGTGACTCACCTGCTTTAGTTTGGTGGCTGTTTTACTGACTGACACCTAAGCAGTGCTTGATCGGTGGGGTAATGTGGAATTTTACTATTTTTTTCTAGTTAGATAAATTCTGATACAATGAGGTACTTTTGCACTTGAGTCCCTCGGGGTCTCTAAAATTGAAGGTTACTCTGAGATTAGGGACTGATTTGTAATTGTTCTAGAACGCATAATCAGTTTTGCAAGGTTACCAATTCTCCATATATTTTTGGTAGATAAATTTATGCTTCTATATGATTTAGCTGTGCATCTATTTGCTTGCTGGGATTAAAATAATTTGCTCTATTTTTATTTTCATTTTCTCAATTCCTCTATTGATTTGTATATAATAGTTATGAGTTGAGTATGTTACAGAACATATGCAAAGCATAATATGGATGTATGCATGCATGTATGCAGATATACACTGATCATTTGTGAATAAAGTGCCGTAACTTCTATTGTGATTTTTATTGTGCATATGTGTATCTCTCGGTGACTACTAATGTGCGCTATAGTTCATGGCTAGCAACGCGGCGATGAACCAAAACTAAATTATCCCACTCCTACAAGGTTTACTCTAACTAACAATAATCAATGATGCATATGGAGATGACTTGATAAATAAATGACAAGAAAACGATCGAAAAACCATTTAATATCCAGAATAGAACAACAATCAACATATTTATAGGTCCTAGCCAGCATCGTGGCTCAATCAACATTGCTCTCAGCTAGTGTGACTAAGTCATTAGCATGACTAATACTATAGCTAAAACCTGGGATGTTACACGGCCGCTCCTTTGTCAGGTGCGGAGATGCTAGCGGAGGCCTGACGCCTTCTCGAAGCTGGTACTAGGGAGGTGCTAGCCGAAATTGCCTAGGCAGGTACCCGTGCTACGTCCTCGGACGAACGGTCGGGAGGTGCTAGCCGAAATTGCCCAGGCAGGTACCGGTGCTACATCCTCGGACGAACGGGTAGCCCAGCTCGAGCAGGAGCTCGAGGTGACGCGCGAGGACCTTTAGAAGATGAAGGATATCGTGGCGGGGAACGAGGCACAGCGCCAAGGGCTGGAGAAGCAGATGCTGGATCAGGGAGAGCACCTGGAGTCAATCCGAGATGCTCTCCGCAAGAACTACACCAGCCTTCACCAGCTCGTGGAGGAGCTTGGCGCTAAGGTCACGATCCCTCCGCATGGCGATGAGACCATGCTGGTGTCCTCCTTGTGCGACCTGGTCAAGGAGATGGAGAAGATCCCTGGCAAGCATGTTGCCAAGGTCGCCGAGAACACCTGCACCGGCCTGCGCACGGGCGCATGTCACGTTCTCGCGTGTGTCAGGCTCGCGCACCCCGAGATCGACCTCAATGAGGTGTTGACCAGGGGCGGGGCTGTCGACACGCGCGAGGACATGATGTCGGAGGTCGCAGAGCTGGGGGAAACCGTTCTCCTCCCTTTCTATAAGGAGTAATCCGTCTTGTCATTTGTTTTCTCCTTGAACTCTGTAAACATATTGGGCTTGTATGGTCCTTAGATGGAACCTTTCCCTTTTGGTTTATTGGAGTTATTTTATGTGCTTTGTAGATGTCGCGATATCGAGGACGTCTAGCAAGGGGGACGTCCTAATACTTCCAATGTCGTGCCCAACACCGTGATTGAGGCGCCCGTTCCAGATGTTGAGGAGAACGTTCCGATTTGCACGGAGCATCGATGATGTTCTCGCACCATCTTGTTCGGCACTAGTCTCACTCCTATTGGTATTTCTTAACCTTACAAATAAAATCCGCAAGCGCACGGAAAATACAGATGTAGCACTTCACCTGGGACTGGGAGTATTCTCAGGTATCGATTTCCACAGGGAACGTGTGTGTCAGCTCTTCACCAGGTTCGTCCAAGGATACGAAGCTAAGGATAGGCAAATGGTAGACATGATTCACCGGTGAGAAACAATGTCTACGAAAAGCTTAACTTTAATCCTAACGCGATACTTCAGGTACTGGCCAGCTCGCTGCTCCCAGATATCGCTCTACTACGTACCCGGACAGGGAGGACTTAAGTGATCTTGAGGGCTGTCACCACCTCTACACTCACCACACACCTATTGTGTGATACGGAGTAAACACCGAAAATCAACTACCTAGACACCGCGTCTAAGTAATTAATAACTTACTTTAATGTTAGCTACAAACTAAAGCAATCACTATATTTTACTTGATTATAGTGAACGATGATCCCGCACGCTGATTAGGAACTAACCAAGTGATAATTCTCACCAAGCATAACTAAATTACTCAAAAGATATTTCTATTATAATCAGAGTAATTAACATAGCAAAAGAAGTAAGAAGAGGATTACCGACAACTTCGGAACTCCTCCGACTTCTTCTACTCTACTCTCTCCCTAATATAGTATAATAAAGTACAATAGAGTCTCTTATAATTCAGCTCAAGCTTGGAGTGTGTGAGTGAAGTGAAGAGGTGAAGTCTTTATGTAGGGCAGGTATGACGGTTGGGAGAAGGCGAAATATCCATTCTATCATCCAAACGCCATCAGGGAATCATCTGGACTGTCCCTGCCAAACCCCAAATCAGATGGCTGCGGGAGTGGTCTAGCCCAACAGGCCCACTTTTTAGCCTGTTGCTCCTCCTCAGCCTCCCTTATCTATTTCTTCGAGTGGAAGGCCCATTTGTTGATGTTTTGTGTAGTTTTTGGCCCACTTGTTGTATGGATAGGATTTCACCTCCACTTAGGTCTGATTTTCATCCCAACTTCAGCGGTTTACCACTTAGGTCCGATTTTCATCCCAACTTCAGCGGTTTATTACCTGTATGCACATATACACCAACACTCGTAGAATATGTTAGAATCAAACCTAATCACTATGTTGGATTTTTATTCTTTCTGTTTATGTAGGTATTGGCGACATAGAATTGGCATTTAATAGCCGCCAACAAAACCCCCCCACACTTATCTCTTTGCTCGTCCCTGAGTAAAGGTTAGAGCTAAAGTTCAAAATAAATTTCTCCAAGATATAATACAAGCACATAAATTATTCATAACTATTCTCATACATGTGAACTTCAGCGGTGGCTATCTTACCATCTTGGGTGATTGGTAAATGGAATAGCCGTGAATTTAGTCCTCCTCATAATCTATATCAGACTTTTGGGGTTTTATAAATTTTTGAAAATCAGCTTTTTCTCCTCAAAATGACTTGCCCTCGATCACTCAAATTTTTTGCAACATCGGTGGATCCTCACCAAGGCATATTTTGCCGAAATTATTCCCTATTCTAAAGGATGTGTATGTGGAGTTTAGTAGGAATAATTCGGAACACACCTGCATCATATATATTGCAAAACCAAATATATGGACTCAAAAAGATAGTCGATCATACTCTTGGATCAAATATTGCACATTTTTGGGTGGAAAGTGTATGATATGTGGAAAGAATGAAAAATAAAGAAAATGTTTCTCCTTTGTATATACCTTCTTCAATTTTATGCTTCATAATTGTAGAGGGGGCATGGCTATTTTCTTTCTTTTTTTTTCATGTTGCTCCATATTTTGGAAGAGCAAAATATTTTTTTATAGCCATGTCTTTTTCTTCTTTTTTTTTTCTTTTCCAGGGATTTTTCTTAGGAGAAGAAGGCACAAATTGAATGGAGAATTTATTCATCAATTTTTTTAGTGGTGGTGGAAATGGATGGAATGGTGCCAAAATCGAGTTGAAAAACCTATCGGTTACCTTTGAAACATATTTAACAAATCACCGTTGCTTGGTCTACCGCTTCCCTGGCCAATGAGTGGGGTTTTATATACTAGACCTAAGGCCTGACTAATCTTATCAATCGACTTGTTTACTACTTCATGTTTAGCCAGTGGCGGAGCTGGACAAAAAAATCAAAGGGGGCCAGCTGGCTTTTGACAGTTCAAAAAATTGGTAATTTCTCCTCTCTTTTTTTCATGCATTGGCAATACATAAAAGCGAATAGTTTGCAAAAGTGGGCAATATACTTACATGTTCATTTAAACTTCACGGCACGAGTCTTCACTGTATTGAAATCGCTGCTACGAGCCAGTCATGTTCATTTAAACTTCACGGCATGAGTCTTCACTGTATTGAAATCGCTGCTATGGGCCAGCCGAACTGAATTGGGACATACGGTGGCCTGTTGGACCTGGGCACCATATATAGGAGTAATAAAAAAATTCTTTTTATTGGGAGGGGCCATGGCCCCTGCCAGCCCCCACCCCCCCCCTCTCAGTTCCGCCACTGTGTTTAGCCTACCTTGAGTTTTAGGTGGTTAGCTAATTGAACGTGAGACGAACTAATGTATATTTATGTATCGATTAGTAAAAAAGTAGTACTTCCTCCGTCTCATAAAAAATCAATCTAGTTACCAAATGTGACACATCTTAATACTACAAATCTGGACACATATACATACATAGATATATATATATATTTAGATTAATCGTACTAGAATATCACATCTGATTCTAGATTCGTTTTTTATGGGACGGTCAGAGGAGTACATGTTACTGGCTGGCTATCTATTTAAATGGTCGGTTGCATGGTCTGTGTTCTGCCTTGTTGGTCAAGCTCAATCGTCAATCACGAGGCAACCACACCAACTAGCGTACGTGAAAAGAACACGATCGATCTTCAATTTTTTATATAATTATTTTGTTACCTGTGATTGTTGTTTTTTGTGGCCTTTGTGGCTTGTACTATCTGCAGGTTGCTATGTTAAATGTCTTGAAATTATAGAACGACTTTTTTTAAAAGAAAAAAAACTAAATTCAAGGAGGTGATCTACTGGAGCAACAACATGCACCCTACCTGCAAGTATGCCCAAGTAGCAAAATTCCACATCACCATCTAGATCGAAGTCGTCCATCACTAGCTTCTACTGCGGTAGTATACTAAGCAAATGCTCCATCACATAAATAAAATTATAAAAAGATGCACTATTATTATTGTTTCTGAAAAAGTACAAGGGCATGTAAGTCCAGCCCTTCCTATAATAGTACATACATAACTTGAGAATTACTACAAAATTACGAGTACACCGTTCTTGTCTTTTGGAACAATTTTTTTCCTGATCATTCTAAGGCTTAATTCGTATTCTCCCATCATTTTGCCCGTTCTTCTCCCTTTTGGAACTATAGTCATTTTCTCCAATTTTACTGCATTCCTGAGGATAAATCTTACTAGGGCAATTTGACCTCCATTACCATTAAATCCGGTCATGCAAGCTCTCTTGAGATTGTAGTAGGGGCGATGTATAATCACGTCCCTAGCAGGGGGGTCCTCACAAATATCTGCACACGTCATCTGCACACAAAATTATATGTCACCTTCTGTCAATACAAACAAATCAATAGCATGACAACCAAGTGCACAAAATCTTCACTAGCTAGTGGCAGATATGCAATAGCCCCCCACAAGCTAAAGCAAGTGCATATAATTAAGAGTAAATTTCAGAAAACTGCACTTTTATTGACTAAACTATCACTTTGCTGCAACCTTTGCGCCACTTTTTAGAAAACTGCAACATTAGCGTTAGAAATTATCACATAGCTGCAATTTTTTCGGGATTCCCTGTTACTGACATTCCGGGCCCACATGTCATACATATATGCTTGAGGGAGGGAGGAACGGAGCGCCACGTCAGCATGCCACCTCATGGCTTTTTTTACTGTAGCGATGCCACGTCAGTGCGTGTTCGGGAGGGAAAAATCGTGGTCCGGTTGCACCATTTGGCTCGGTCAGGGGCACAGGCCGACAGGGTCAAAGGCAGGTCCAAGACCTGATAACGACACATTACTATTGCCCTGATTCTCACCGTACTACTGCCTCGATTCCCAGCATCGACTAGGAAGATTGCGGTGGTGATGGTGGGAATCGGGGGAGTAGTAATGTGTCGTTATCAGGTCTTGGACCTGCCTTTGACCCTGTCGGCCTGTGCCCTTGACCGAGCCAAATGGTGCAGCTGGACCACGATTTTTTCCGCCCGAACACGCACTGACATGGCATCGCTACAGTAAAAAAAGCCATGAGGTGGCATGCTGACGTGCCGCTCCGTTCCTCCCTCTCTCGAGCATATATGTATGACATGTGGGCCCGGAATGTCAGTTACAGGGAATCCTGAAAAAAATGCAGCTATGTGATAATTTTCAATGCTAATGTTGCAGTTTTTTGAAAAGTGTCGCAAAGGTTGCAGCAAAGTGATAGTTTAGTCAATAAAAGTGCAGTCTTCTGAAATTTACTCTATAATTAACTACCAAGCAAGATTGCTCCTTAAAGCCACTTCACAATCAAGATACTCAACAAGGTAAAACTATGGATTGTTATTGATTTAAGTACATATCTTGTACAAACCTTCAATGGAATTCAAGATAACTAGCTAAAATAAATATGAATTATATCCGCATGATAATATTGTTTGGAAGAAATTTTATTTTAGATTTGAAATAAGATAGAACCAATATATAGGGCTATTTTGTAATATTAATATTAAAGTACAACAATATATAATAGAGTTGGTGGGTGGTAAATTCACTACCACCGGCATTGCCCTCTTTTAGAATAGTATAGAGTATGAATTATTATGTGTTTTGTGCCAATAGTCGCATACTAGCTAGTAGTATTATGTTGCTGTGTTTCAGCTCATGGCCACTTTGAGATTTATGTGGTCTAATAGGCTGGCCTGCCCCCACAGTTCCAGTATCAAAATTTTGACTCAAGGCAATACTTAAAATTAAATAGACATATAAAGCAAGTGTGGGCACATTAGACAGGAGTAAAGTATAAAAATGAGATTACAGAGTATTTAAAACTACAAACAGGATGAAGGTGCAGATGGCATAATAACTCACATCCAAATGAAGGTCCACTAACAAAGGAGCAGCTTCCAAAAGATATGCTAGCTGCAGAACTGCGTTTTTTCCAAAACGTTTAGCACTTCCAAAGGTTATCCTCATGATCAGATGCCTTAAATTGATAAATTTAAGAGGGGGCTGTGTAAATCCAGGTATCTGAAAGACGCCAAGGAAATTCTGAAACAAATACACACACACACACACCCACACACATACTTGATTGAAGATTTTGGAGGGTATGCATTGGGATTAAGGTACCTGAGTCCTCACAAACACTTTCACATGTAGTCTCTCAACATGAGGTAATCCATTTGGAAGCCCAGTGAAAACATACTCAAGGTTGTCCTCAATATGAGACGCAATGCTTGCAGTCTTAAGCTTCAAGCATTTGTGAAGTGCAATAATCACTTTAAAACAACCTCTATACTCAAATGTGGTGAGTTTGGGGGCATGGAGCTCAATCTTGTTAATCGCACAACCTTGTACACGCAAAAATTCCAGCCGCGGCAATGGTTCAGAAACATGCAAATTATGTAGCTGGGAGCACATTAGGATTTCCAACCATTCTAGGGCAGGGCATTTCGGTAAGAAGTACTGGAAGTTGTCCAATACAAGCACATGCTTCAAAGTAAGCATTGTAAGATTAGCAAAGCCACAAAAGTCAGGAGTTGGGCCAAAAGTAACAGTATCAAGTTGAAGAACCTTAAAGTGGGATCCATTTCTGTCATTGAAAAGATGACATGGAAAGCTGTAACTGTTTTCTCGCAATCCTATATATGGAGAAAAGTTCAGGACGAGAACCCTTGCTTTCGATGCAATAGCAAAGGAAACCCATCCATCAATGTCACGTGCATGCTCCTTCCACAGCTCAAACTTCACACCAAAATCACTCACTCCTAGACCACTGTGTTTCCTCAAGATAAAATTGATTGTGTCAATAAACCCATTGGTGCTCAGCGCTCTCAACTGTCGATCAGAAGTTCCAAACAATTCTTCAGTGCCAAAAAGAAGATCAGGATGGAAAATCCAAGCTCTTCTGAACACACTCGATACCATGCTCATCTGAACAGCTTGCTTCAATGTTAGTTTTGACATTATCCTTGACAGAATGTCCTGGTGATGAGTGTGGACAAAACATCAGGCAGTCCCTAAAGCACATTTAGTAGAGTTGATCCTAAGTTTAACGTACATACCTCAGGGAGAGATTGAAAATCAACCCATTGTGATCTTATCCGCTTGCTGTTATATACTTCAGCACATGGGCTGAGCGCCAATCTCCTCCTTTTGTTTACTGGACAGATCCCATCCTCCATGTGTGCTCTTCTGGCTGGCATGCTACTACCTATGAAGACTAGAAACAATGAGCAATGGTTCAGGATGGCGCATATGCAAGAGTGCAAGAAATTCCTTTAGCAATGATAATAAACAATAAGTTGTCTAGCTATGAATCTTTGGAGATGATGCATTCCAGAGATTAGATGTTATCAATATAATTCTTAAACTTATTACGTAAACACTGAACAGCTGAAGTGCAATGGTAAGAGTTCGCTATCGCAGTTAGTATTTCTGTTCATTTGTAACCAAACAGGGAAAAAAAATGAGGAAAAGGTAAGGGATGATCTATGGGTTGTTAACTTGTTATCAAAGGACAGTGAAAAGAAAAGGATAAATAGCTCCTAATTCCTATCTGAGTGAAAACTAGAACGTTCCCAAGTTTACAACTAGAATATGCATGCGTTCAATGAAGTGAACAAAATTTGTCTTGGACAAAATGAGAATAAAATAATTTTCCTGAGAATGAGTTCAAACACTGGCATTAGTGGTGATAAACACCAGTATAGTCTAGTTACAATCCCACTTGTTATTTAGTCATGACAGATGGTAAGATAAATTCTCGCCAGCCATCCAAGCAAAAAGTAATCTAAATTTTCAATAGAGGAAGAGGGTGACTGTAATCCAGAAGGAGCAGCTTTTGCAATGACGTAATAATGCAGGTGCCACCAGAAACTTGAGTAAAAGAAGAAGAAGAAGATTATGTCGCTGTTAATTTCAGGGGAAACGGTAAAAGAAGAAGAAGATTATGTCGCTGTTAATTTCAGAGGAAACGGTAGGTTTGAGATTTCCTACAAATCTAAGAGAGGATTCGGAAGGGGAGAAGGTCAAGCTACCTGCGGTGGTGGGCGGCGGCGCCTGCTGTGTCCATTGCTTTGCTGCTCAACCCCGTCCCAGTCCGTCCATATCTATAAGAAGAAGAAATATACTACTCCTACTACTAATCCGGCTTGGTTCCCCTCCTCGCGAGACTCGGATCCAAATCTTGGTGGCGGCTGACGGGGAGGAGGCCGGGAGGGATCGGCGCCGTCGTCGTCCGGGATGGATGGGGTCACCGCCGCCGCTTCCAATGCTCCCCACCCCAACCACAAGGTCACCCCCGCATTGCCCCGAAATTTTCACAAAGGGTTTGTTTAGTTGGAAAAAACAATTTCCCCCGGATATTTGACATACACTCCAAGTATTAAATGTAGTGTAATAATAAAAACAAAATTACAGATTTCGTCAGGAAACTGCGAGATAAATTTATTGAACCTAATTAATTCGTCATTAGCAAATGTTTAATGTAACACTACGTTGTCTAATCATGGTGTAATTAGGCTTAAAAAATTTGTCTCGCAATTTCTTGGCAAATTGTGTAATTGATTTTTTTTCTACATTTAATACTATATGCATATGTTTAAATATTTGATGTGACAGCGTGAAAAATTTTATTTGGTAACAAACAGACCCATCATTCTACAAAACTTATTTGTCTTCTCTATCTCTACTATTATAAAAATTGAAGATATTTTTGCCAGTATTTTGGTACGTCATCCTTATTTGAGTCGGTTTTTAAGTCTTTTTTTTAAATACAGGTCCATGTTTGAGTCGGATTTTAAGTCCGTTTGCTTTTGGAAATACAAAAAAAATTGTATAAGAAATTTCTTTAAAAAAAAACTTACATGCTAATTTGAGATGAAAGTTGAACTCATGATTTTCTAAAAAAAATATCCAAACAAATTCCCACGGTGAATTTCATTCTATCTGAACCGTATATCAATAGTAACATTAAAATAACATTCACCCGTTGCAACACGGGCATATTTTCTAGTTATTATAAAAATTTAAAATATTTTTGTTGGTACCTTCATAAGTCATTCGTGTTTAAGTCGGTTTTAATTTTTTTATTTCGGTTTTAATCTCTACTCCTCCAAATCCATAATTTTAAAAAGGCGAAAAACTCAGGCGGGAAAAGAAAACGCGCACAAAAAACGCGAAAGAAAAACATGGAAAAAAAAGTCCGATTCGTACCGGAAACAAAAAAAGTGGCAAAAAATGTTGAGTAAAAAACAAAAAGGTCGACCTAAAAAATAAAAAAATCGCCGACTCCAAAAAAAAAAAATAGTCGTGCGGAGAAACCGATTGGTATTTGTCCGTCTCTTTTATCCAGCTTTTTTTTTCCACTTCTCTTTTTTCTTCCATCCGGCTTTTTTTTCAATGTTCTTTCCGGTTATTTTGCCATCGTCTTTTTCCTTTTATTCATTTTTTTCGTCCCTATTTTTTATTCGTATTCTTTTGCAAGCTGAAGGGTGTGCGCACATGGTTAAAATTCTTTTTTTAATCTACTCGGTTTTTTCCGTCGTCGGGCTGAACCCTAGCACTATGCCACCACCGCCACATCTATCAACCTCCTCACGCTTTTTCTCCTCCAATCTATTGTAAAAATCAATTCTCCACTACTCCATCATCATTTTCCATATAATTTATCTTTTCAGTTCCGCTTTAATTCACCAGATTCAATATCTATTTAAAAGTCACCGTTTATATCCCACAGTTTTGTGGATTCACTCCAATTTTAATAAAAATGAAAAGAGGAGATTGAGTGAATCAAAAGCCCTCAACCAATTTTGAGAGATCGAGAAAAATTTGACCGGATTTAATGGGAGGATCGGTTCTGGCATAGTACTACACGGGACTGTCTTCCGGAGGTTGAAGATGGCAGCCGACTGTGCAAGTTAGGCCTATAGTTCTATTTTTGTGCTAGGTTAAAGAGAAGCAGGCTGTGGAGATTATGGATACCCCATATCTACATGACAGTTATAATTTAGTCGGATATACGGTACCAAATATATATAGAATATCTTTATGAGGACTCGGGTTAGTTTTTAACTTGTATGTCAAGGAAATACCTGAGATCTTAGTCGGTTACGATTGTATTTTATTTGTAATTACATATTCCGTTAGGGATATGGACTGTACTTTGTAAAGCGGACTCCTTCCCCTATATAAGGAGGGTCCGTGTGCCTCTCGGGGCACGATTCTTTTTCCCAGTTTATACAATTAATAACACACTCGGCGGAATCATCCCCGGACAGGAGTAGGGTATTACTTCTTGAATAAGAAGGCCTGAACCTGTATAAAATTCTTTGTCTCCAAACCCATCCACTTTCCTAGCTTGATAGCCACCCCCTTTTATTATTGCCGAAATCTTGTTTCGACAGTTGGCGCGCCAGGTAGGGGTAGCGTCAAGTTTTTGCCGACTAAGTGCGATGGGTTCTGTCTCCGGCATCGACGACTTCGCCTTCCTCCCAGGCAGGCGTTCCGGTTCGGCAGCCTCAACTTCATCACCAACGACTTCGGCAAGATCTCTCTCCTTGACTTGGATTCGAACCAGTCGGGAAGAGATCAGGTCCCCGCACCGTTCGGTATTCCGAACTCGGCCGAGGCGTACTCCAAGATCATCTCTCCCGAGTCGGCTTCAAACCACTCGGACGAGACCCAATCTACTCCACCGCGACCAGATCAAGACGACGGGTCCTATCCCTCAATCCTGATGAAACTTCCTGATGATTTGGCTGCTGTCTTCACAGCCAAGACATCTCCCACTCGAAGATCTAGGCGAGCTCCGGCTTCGGCCCCGATCCAATCTAGATCCAGGGAGGTTGGCGTTATACTCCAACCTCTTAGGACAGTCTCGACAGAAGAGTTGGATGGCTACCTCAGCTCCCCCGGCGTCGGTTCTCAACCAACCGAGGTCCTCAACTACGATGACTTCGGCTACCACTACGACCACAGCGACCTCGACAACTTCGACGACAGCTTCGAGGATAACTACACGCCCCTCTTCTTCGGCGTATTCATGGCTGACAACGAAACGGAGGAACAGCGCCGAGCCCGAGAAGCGGACCAAGATTGCGCACGGCAAGAAGCTGAACGTCGCCGACTGGAGGAAGAGCGACAGTGACAGGGGCGAGAACGACTACAGCGTGAGCAACAAGATCGCGAACGGATTGCAAAGGAGGCTGAAGATCGACGGCAACGCGCCTTGGAATCAGGGCGACGAGCGAGAGAGCTCATTGAGCAACAAGACATCGATGGAACAGCGGTCTTTCGCACCCCCAGCAGAACGCGGTTGCAGCAATCACTCTCCTCGACACCCTCCTCAAGGAAGACGCACTTAACCAAGCTGATCATGTTGTCAAAATCTTGAACCAGACGAAGACTATAATCGCTGCCTCGGTCCCAGCCAACTCCGCAAGCACCTGCACCCCGATTGGTAGCCGAGTCCCTCATCTTCGATCTCAAGACTATCACCAGCCAAGCCTCAGCATTGCCGGCGCCGGATCTAGTCGCAGAAGCAGGGGACATGATGAACGGTCTGTTCGTTCGCCTCCCGAACGATATAGGGAGCGTCGAGTTGAACGACCATACTCCCCACATCGAAGGCGCCCCATCGATCTTCGCGACACCATCAACCAGCACCGCGCAGCAAGAGGCCATCATTCACCGGATCGCTACGACGACGATGTGGACGGAGTTGCTGCCTTCACAAGTGATTTGCATCGAGTGGATTGGCCAGCTGGCTTTAAGCCGACTGGAATCGAGAAATATGACGGCACCACCAACCCTCAGTCTTGGCTCACCGTCTATGGTCTCGCAATCAGCGCAGCAGGAGGAGACAGCAAAGCCATGGCGAATTATCTACCTGTGGCCCTAGCGGATTCTGCCCGGTCATGGCTCCACGAGCTACCCCGCGGCACGATCGGATCATGGGCAGAGCTACGCGACCACTTCATAGCCAACTTCCAAGGCACTTTTGAACGGCCTGGTACACACTTCGATCTCTACAACATCATTCAGAAGTCTGGAGAGTCTCTTCGAGATTACATTCGACGCTTCTCTGAGCAACGCAACAAGATCTCCGACATCACCGACGACGTCATCATTGCCTCCTTTACTAAAGGCATTCGCCACGAGGACCTAGTCGGCAAGTTCGGACGCAAACCTCCCAAGACGGTCAAGCAGATGTTTGAAAAAGCCAATGAGTATGCCAAAGCCGAAGATGCTATCACGGCGTCCAAGCAGTCGGGCACCACTTGGAAGCCAAAGAAGGATACGCCGACCGCAGGAGGGAGTGGAAGTAACAACCACAAAGATCGCAAGCGTAAGCCCGAAGAACTTGTGGTGACAACCTCTCCGTCTTCCCGACAACGTTCCCGCGTCAACACATTCGACAAGATAATGAACTCCCAATGTCCGCATCATCCCAACTCCAACCACGTGGCCAAAGACTGCTTCATCTACAAACAATTTGCGGAGCAATACGTCAAGAATGCACGTAAGCCCTCAGACGGAGATCAAGGCACATCAAAGAAGAAAGATGATGAAGACGATGCCCCGACTGGTTTTCAAGACCATCGCAAAGAACTCAATCACATCTTCGGCGGACCTCTGGCTTATGAGTCTAAGAGAAAGCAGAAGTTAACAGAACGTGAGATCAATGCGGTTCAGCCCAACACGCCCCAATACCTTCGGTGGTCAGAGATAGCAATCAAGTTCGACCGCTCGGATCATCCCGACCGAGTGGTCCACCTGGGGCGGTACCCCCTGGTACTAGACCCAGTGGTTCGCAATATCAAGCTCCGAAGAACTCTCATCGATGGTGGCAGTGCATTCAACATCCTTTTCGCTAAGACCCTGGACGATATGCAGATTCCTCGCACGGAATTAAAGCCAAGTAATGCACCCTTCCACGGTGTTATCCCAGGATTATCAGCCACACCACTCGGCCAGATCACTCTTCCGGTTACCTTCGGCACTCGGGAGAATTTTCGCACAGAAAACGTTTGTTTCGAAGTTGTTGATTTCGAGACAGCATACCATGCTATACTCGGATGACTGGCTCTAGCCAAATTCATGGCCGTCCCACACTACACCTACATGATGATGAAGATGCCTGGTCCTCGAGGGGTCATATCACTATGGAGCGACATCAAGCAAGCCGTCACATGTGACAAAGAAAGTTGCGAGATGGCCCAAACCCACGAGATCACTCTTGCTCGCGAAGAGATCTGACTGGCTGCGACCACGGCAAGCGAGGGAGAAGTGCCTGCAACCAAGCTGACGAAGACCGAAGAAAGCGATGCTAAGACGAAAAAGAT